TTTTGACATTTTTCAGTAGATTTGGTCTATGACCGTATTTATAAACGAAAAATACAATAGTCGTAGGTAATGAACCCTTTTCCGGCTCGGTATGTAATCTACTATTCATACGTCATATTTAAAGTAAAGTTACTTAGCAACCTTTAAAGATCGGCGTGCTTTAATCGCCTATTTTCGTATGCTCACTGCTCAGGGGTGCTTTAAACGGCGCGGCGATTCTGATGCAGGTATACAATAAAAAAGAATATAAAACAAAAAAACTGATTGTTTTGGATTGTACTCTAAAAGCTTTTTTCTAGTGTTCTGGGGTAAAAATGAGATGCACAAAATTTAAAATTCGCCAGTTTCCGACTTTCCCATTAAGAATAAAGGCAGTGTACATCGTAACTAAAAAGCGAATTTTAAAGGCAAAAAGGAACCATGCGGATGGAAACGTGCCATTAAATAAAATGCCTCTTTATTGCAATTAGTTAGCGAAATTGCGAACGGCGAGTTTAAAACTTTATAATTAGCTGGAATGAAATGTTTTCAAGTGTGAACTATTTTGCAGCGAATTTTGAGAGGGGTAACTAAAGCAGTGACTTACTATGGATTACTCACAATAACGAATGTGATATGTTTTACTGTTAATGCGTTAAAATAATATCCTTAGTTCTGTTGGACTTGTTCATCCCTTAATAAGTATTCGAAAAAGGCTCCCTATTATTGACAGGGAAATTTCAATAGAGACTTTTTAGGGTGATTTCATCAGTTCGTTTCCACCAGCTTGCTTCAATTTCGCATTCCGAGAATATCTGTTTCTAAATAAGTTTAGAGCTTTTGGATGAACATTTCAACGGAAATTTGTCTTGACAAGTAAAATTTAACATTAATAATAAAATTATGATTTTGCAATATAGAAATTGCAATTATTTAAGCATTATAAGTGCCTGACGAAGAAACCGTGATAAAATTCCTCCAGAACTAGATGGAGCGGGGTTTTCGGAATCGTAAAGTGTGATCGATGAAGCTTAGCTGTCTCGTAATTTTTATTAATTCCTGCTCGCCATCTCCGCATGTTGCTAATTTAGTAACGGTGGTCGATCGAGTTGAATAATTTGTTATTTTTCGTGTTTTGACATTGAGGCCTGCCTTCTAAGCCCTTAAATTCAAGTATTAATTCCTAATACTCGGTGGGCTCAGAAATATATATTATTGATATAATCAGCCTTGTGATGTATCAGAATCTGCCAAAAAACGTTATTTTGCGTTATTTAGTATGGGAAAAATAACGTTCTCTTATCTACACACGTTAAGTTTAACGTTATTGATACATCACAGGTATGCATGTTATTAAAATGTAACGTCACATTTTTTACATTATTTCTTGCAATTATAGATAATAACTAAAACAATTCCGAATTACTTACCTTTTTTACTTTTCATGATATTTGCAAAAATGGCCTATGGGGTCTTATTTGACCCCACCTGTTAGCAAGTGTTACAAATTGAGTGACAATATTTTTTGGGATATTTATGGATTTGATTGTAAATAGATTCCTAATTGTCTTATTGTGGATTAAAATGCCCTCATTAAATTTTTTGAAAGAGCCTTTTCATTTTTGAGATATCCGGATGGACTTACATTGTGTCTAATTATACGAAGTATTGAACATGATAATTAACCCTAATTCTGTGTAAACGGTATCTATTTTTGGAGTGCCACTATGGGGATCTCGTTTACCTTAAGACATAGACAGTTGGTTAAATGGGGGAAAAGTTGCGAATTTTTGTGCTGAATCACAATCCGAAAAGAAATTAAAAATACCATCAATAGCTTTGAAAAAAACAAAACTTTCTGATCTTCGTTTTTAATTTGTTCATGATAAACTAATCGGTACTAGACATTTGCAGCAATTATTCAGAAACCTTTTAATGGAGTTTTCGAATATGGCATTCCGTTTTTAGACGAGAGTGAAACACGTGACAACTTTAGTTTTTCTTATGGGCATCATTTTGAATTTTGACATTTTGCGATTTTTCTCTTTACAATGATATATAACACATGATGGTTTAGTATCACATTTTTCCTAAAAATACAATTTAGTTTTTTGAGAAGAGTGCTTTGGAACAACAAAAGTTCTTTTATTGTGAACAAAAGTTTGACAGTTGGATCCATCTGTCTGGTTGCAGCGTTGGCAGGGAACTAATAACAGAAAATTCGATTTTCATCTGAACAGAATTGAAACTTCGTTTTGCAAGAAAATTATAATTCAAATTAGAACAAAATACATAAGAATAAATAATATTTTCGCAATAAAACTACCACAAACCTAAATGGCATTACTTGAAATAAGTCAACCTGTTGTTCACAAACAAAAGAACTTTTGTTTTTGCAAAGCACTCTTCGCAGAAAATGAAATACTTATGTATTTTTAAGATGTGATACTGGACCACCATGTGTGATATATCGTTGTAAAGAGAAAAAAAGACGTGATCTCAAAATGTCAAAATCCGAAACGGTGCGCATACGAAAAACTAAAGTTGCCACATGTTTCTCCGTCATCTTAAAAGTTATTAAAAACGGGATGCCATATTCGAAATTTCCGTTAATAGTCTTTGAATAATATAAATAAAAAATAATTATAAATCTAGTTAGTCTAATTAGTTTACCATGAAAAAATTAAAAACGAAAATCATTGCGCTCTTTTCAAGACTATTGAAGATATTTTAAATTTCTTTTCATATTATTAGTCAGCACGAAAATTCTCAACTTGGCCCTCATTTAACCTAATTTCTATTTCTTAAGACAAGCGAGATCTCCATAGAGGCACTCGAATAATGGACACCGTGTATATTAGTATCAAATCCTGTTGCAATTACAGTATTGTTATAATTTCCTATGTGGGGGGTGTATATAACGTTACACCCAAATTTGAGTTTACATCATTTGTTAGTAGTGAGAGTATGAAAGTAGTGAGTCTCTCCCTTTTTTATGAAGTCATACGTGCCGCGCTGTGATAAACTGCGCAATTTTGTGGCGGTAAATTTGAATTTGTGCGGGTGATTTGAATTTTTGAATTGGCGAATGTCCGTCATTTTGTCACGTAAGTTTGAATTTGTGCGGGAGATTTGCATCTTTAGATTTGCGAATGTTGGTTGTTTTGGTAGCGGTAAGTTTGAATTTACGCGGGAGATTTGAATTTTTGGATTTGCGAATGTCTGCCAACTTTTTACTGTCATTGGTTGTGTCATTTTAAATATACAGTGTGTAATGAATGTAGCGATAGTTATATACAGGGTATTTGTGATCAACGATTTTGCACCGGTACCAACAGGTCGCTAACTAGTCGGCTATTTTGTTCCCATGAGACCAAATGGAATCGTGTGTGTCGGTATATTTGAAATTAAATATACATGGTGTAATGATAGTTATACATAGGGTATTTGTGTTTGGCCACTTTGCTCCGGGGTGTCATATAAACTTATATAAATTATGATGTTTATTTTATCTATTACAGTTTTGTTGTATTGTTCCAAAATTACTACACCCTTAAATTCGATACCTTTTCCCTTCAAAACTTACGTCAATTTCATGCTTAGACAATTTTCTAAATCTGGCCATTTCATACAAAATTTGTTTTTCACCGACAGTCACTTCTGTTTACTACAGATTGCACAATTCCCATAGCAACATAAAACTACAAAAGTTCTAAATTAAAATTGCAATTTGCGCGTTCACGGAATTTTCATCTCAAATGAAACTCGCGTCCATGGAAATCCGCCGTAATTCTTTTTTGTATTCGATAACTCATTTGGATGATCCAAAAACCTCTCGTTATCTCTCCTCGAAAAAATTTCCGCGCACTCGTGATGATTATTAATTAAAACAATAGTGCTGTTATAAGCAAGACTTTCACGCGACTGAAATTCGTTTTTTAGATCTCCGCCGGAAAGCGCAATTGGTTGCTTTTATAAATTTTAAGGTTCAGCGAATGTATACTTAGCATTAGCATTACACTGGAAGCAGTAAATTTTGTTTTCCGCCGCTTTCGTTCGAAACCCCACGGATTTGAGAATAAACGACCGGTGTTTGTCTTGTTGCGCTGCAATATACAATTAAAATTAGATATCAAAGCACATTATTCTGTAACTGTAGGAAATAATTACCCATGGTATATAAAAAAGGCGCTGGTACTAATAGTCGGTTTTTCATGTTAATATTTATTATAGATGTTAATTGTTATAGAAACAAATGTATCCACTTAAACAGTTCCTGCAATTTCGACTCTTCAGCAACTGTAAGCTTTAATACTACAGTCGTAATCCCCCCCCCCCCTCCCACGGCCCCACGTTGGGCGCCACTTTATAACGGCGCTTCGTTTAAAAAACCACCGAATAAATGAGAAAATTGCAGAAACCCCATCCAAATAACTCGGGATCAGCAATGAAATACCAGGTTCAATTGCTGATTATGTTAATTGGATGTTGCAATTGGAACCACATGGTTTTTTCTTCACCCAAGGAAGAACTTGCTTATACTATAGCCAATAGGTGTGTTATAAATTATTTAGCATCAGCAGTCGTGAAAAGAAAACGTTTACCTGTTGCATTATATATTTCGTGTCGTAATTTATCATTCTTTTGCGACACCTTTGTTTCATGTCGCGATTTCACTTAGAATGACATCAATATTTGTGCATTGATTTTTCCTTCTAAATTCGAAAAGAAATGTGTAAATTCATGTGACAGTTTTCACTGTAGAATTGGGAAAACTTTACATAAAAGCGATATGCCAATATACCGGAAATTACTATAATTCTCTCGAGAACGCGTTTTCCATACGCAGTAGAAAACTTTTTAAATAATTTCTTTAAAACTTTTGAATGACTGATAATATCCGGAGTGAGTTTACCTATTCCTAAGACATTTGTAATTTAATTAAAAGTACTTTAAGCTGTAGGTATACTTCTTTCGTAACTATAACGGAAGTTTTAACAAGTAACTTTTTATTGTTTCAGAGTGCAACATGCGGCAAATCTAATACAAAACTTACTTTGGAAATCCGCCAATCCAATCTTGGACATTTTTATAAGTAAGCACTTTCAATTTCCTACGTATAAAGAGCACTTAGCACATGTGAAGTTAGCCCATCGTTTATAAAATGGCGCAATTGTAGAGTTCTGCAAGTATTGATCATAATTTACTAAAGCAAAACCTGTAATGAGTATAGTAGCATAACTCCAAAATTTCACCAAAAATATTCTTACGACTATATTTCGGAAAAACGCGGAAAACCGTTTTCATATTTTGACCTGTCTCCCTTGGACTATTTTTTGTGGGGAACAACGAAAAATGAACTTTGCAAAACATTGCCAGTCGACCTTGATTTACTGATTTACCGAAGATAAGCAAGATCTCCATAGTGGCACTCGAAAAATCCTATACTTCCAACAATTGGCACTTGGAAGTTAATAAGTCCCGGAGCCATGTAGCATGTAGGTAAATGATTTTTCAGGTACCATTATTATGTATAAATCTACATAAACATTTTAAATTATGTATACTAGTTTTATGGTAATGGAATTATTGTTTATCGCCTACTGTAGAAAAAAACGTAACTGGACAAAGTAATTAATTAATTCGGCGATCAAGCGCCCGCTGGTCAGTCGCTTAGTCTATGACGGTCGTAGTGCGTGAGAATCCTGTACACGATGATTCTAATCTAACCTAATTCGGTTGGTTATTAACTTATTGACAAATTTGATTAAAGTTGAACTTTAAACGCATTAGAAGAACACAGTAATTCGTTATAATTGGCAAGTTAATTTCACTTGCTTTGGGCTTCGACGCTATTGGAATCGATCCTGGAGAGCACTGATCTAAGGGAACAGATAATATTCGTAAGCTATGCATGTGTATGATTGAGTGAGTGTTTCGATTATGAGAAAAAATCGCAAGGTTCTTATACTGGAAGTTGTAGCTGACCGAGAAAAACAGTGGATAACCTTGTACAGGTTCGTTGGAAGGTCTTCGGTAGTTTACAAAGATTCATTTAAACGTTGATTTTGTTTTTTGATGACTTGACAAATTGTTGTTTTTAATCCTTACTTTTTTATTATACCTGAATCACAATCTCCGTTATAAACACTCAAATGCGTGCGAAAAAAGGCCTTTAAAACCTTAGACCATATAGTACATGGACTGCTAATTGTAACTAAAATATGGTCAAGGACATCGCCTGGGTATGTGAGTTTCAGGGTAAACGAGTCTGTCCGAAGTTGTACGATGAGACACGATTTGAGACTGTCAACCTATAAATTAACAAACGTCAATTAATTAATCGCCTAGATATCCCAAAAAAAGCAAACTTATTCTTATTTATGTGGACGTATAGCAAATAATGAAGAGCATTTAAGTTTTCCCGTACTACGCGGTTACTATAAAGCTGCTCTTTAAGCGATCCTAGTGGTGTTTACACGACTTTAGTTTACCCTGAGATTCACATGCCCACATAGATATATAAATACATAGATACAGCCATACCCCAACATAGTTCAAAAGGACGTACCATCTATTACCATCACTTTCGGCACATTAATTACGTATAGCGCTATCCTTTATAGAGGTACCCTGAGCATGGAAGACAAGATTCGCATTATTTATTATAGCTGTCAATCAAATTGTTAGCACAAATCACACAGAAAATTATCAGATTTGAGATTTTACAACATAAATAAACCGCCTTTTTATTTATTTAAATCGCATAGCAGCAAGAAATGTTACATTTAAAATGGAAGATGTTACTTAGAAAGCTGGAAAATGACGAATTTGAAAAAATTACAGCTGACAAATGGAAGAAAGTGTGTGAACATGTGGAAAGTGATTAATTTAAAAGAGAAGTTATATTGGTTGATGTTTCTGAACTTTATAATAAGTGTTAATAATGACAGTGATGATTCGGATTTGTCAATTTCATCTGACGATGATTCGGATTGTGAAGTTTTATAAACGTAATGAATGTTCACTAAATGAGTATTATCACCAATTGGATATCATTGCTAAGATGTTGTATTTATTTTAAATAAATGTACACGTGTAGCTTACTTACTACAATTAGCACTATAATTTCAAAAAGAAACCCCACCGATTGGACATATGCTGAAAGGTAGGCAAGACGCGTAGCGACCAAAATTTGATATTGCACGCACACACAGTCTATAAATCTCGTTTTCCTAAGAATATTGCACGGATCCTTCTTTGTGATCATGATACAAACGCACTGCATCAACATCATATAGGCCAAAATGATAATTGGAAACGAATTCACTTCCTGTCGCAACTTAATCTCCGGCCTACAACCATGCAATTAAAATTAAATGTTGAACATAAACTTTACTTACTTACGGTTTTTTTGATATTCTGCAAGCCAGCAATGAATTCACTGCAGCACATTGCCAAACAAGGTAAACATAGTCCCAAATTTGAATGGCGTAGCTCTATGTAATAAAACTATTTCAGGAATAACAATTATGGACGCGTCTATCATTATGGCAAGCACTAATGTTATTCGTATTCAATTGATAACGCAATAATTACATAATATTTAGTGAAAAAACATCATGTTTAACGAATATTTTTAGTTAGATTTGATTTCGCGCGATCGTGAAATGTGTCAACTGTCACATGACTTATGGGACGCGCTAAGTTTGTTTTAAGCGTCCGATTCGCGTACGACATAGAAGTTAATGCAATAAAAAGAGATAGAACATGTTTCTTCTTGGTTAGAATGGAGAGATGTACAAATTTCTTTGATATGTTTTTTAAAAACCGAGGTACGTTTGTTAAGGATGGCTGTATCTAGGTATTTATATATCTATGCATGCCCACGACTACAGCGCCCTCTATCCGTGACCATCCATTTTGTATTGAAAGCATAGGGCGAATAGCAGTCCATGTACTATATGGTCTAAGTTTAAAACACACTTGCTTTAAAGTTGGTAAGTGACGATACTTCAAGCATAGAACAACAAACACTTCAAGTATGACTTTTGAAACTGTCATCTGGGTGAAATAAAAAATCCTCTTAGGTCGCTTTCTGTAAATGCAGGACATTTTTTTGGCTTGTACCTATCCTTTGGTTGAAGCTTTCACAAACGCGCGTAATTTAGGGTATGCTTCCAAATCTGTTCCACTTTTTAATCGCAACATTGCTTGGAAGTTTTGAATGAATGCACCAAAATATAGAAGATTTAAATACCTTTGACATTTCCTTCATATATGCCAGCATTATCGATGCATTTAAGACTTTATTCGTAAGTAACTTCCTATTCATCCATGGAAACAAGTTTTTATATTCTTTATAAGGCTTTACATAATTTAGATTTTACACCTACCAACGTTTGTTTAGATTTTACAACAAGCGATTTAATGGACGGTGTATTATCTTTGTCAACGGAAATTGTTTTATTCACAAAAGTGATGATTTTTATAAGCAAATGACAAGTGACATTTCCATGGCAATCGTGAAATTGCGAACACCCAGCCCACTTAATTAGACATGTATTCGAGTATAACATCAATATGATTTCATTGTATTTCTTATTTTTAAATTATACTGCAGGTATAATAAAAAATACTATAAGATACACGTGTATAATTGGTCTTTAAAGCACTTGCAACGTTAAATTCACTCCGCTTCGCGTCGTGCCATTAAACTGGTTGCGCGTGCTTTAAAGACTTGATTATACACTTGTCTCTTAATATACTATTAATGCCTGATTGCTACCAATTCATTCACGATCAACAAGGTTTCTATGGATAGGGATCCTACAGATACAGAGCAATTGTTTTAAATTGATTTTGAAATAATTTCAATTCAACTTTTGTTTTCCAATTCCTACAACCTAGTACTGCTCCAATCCTGCAATATAGATACTAGATATAGAACCAAGATTTTAGATTTTCGCTCATTCACGTTAAATTTAAATTCGAGGTGGTCATATTTTACGTTAAATCTCCCTCACTGGGTCCTTTCATGCTTTAGTGCTTAGTTACAACCCCTAATATGGTATGATAAGGAAACCGACACTTCATTTACTAAGGCGAATTGTTAAATGACACTGAAATATCTTTTTCGAATAAGTAATTGCTAGAGCTGAGCTTCCAGGGAAAGATTGAATTTTAGCAAAGAAAATGCGATAATCTTATAAAAAAATTGAAAAATTAGAAATGATTGACTACGTACTAGGACTAGAAATGATAACAGATCTTAAAAATGTACTGGACGCTTACACCATGAGCTTCAAAAGAGTAGATATTCCAAGAATTAGCAAACTACATCACGGAAATCACTCGCATATAATCAAGAACATCGACATACTTATAATACACATAATCAGCCCAAAAAAACGACTCACAATGAGTGTACCTGCTTACATTCCACACCAAATCCTATCTGAATAATTAAACGAACTTTACGTTATAACAGTCACACCAATAACGTACCTGAAAATAAGTAACGACCCACGGTTATCATAATTATACCGGGTGAATATTTTAAAACCGAACTTAGGCAGTTGCTCCCCATGTTAACTTAGAGGATTTATAATGACACCAATCACAAGAAGATTTTTTCTCATGTACTGATATACGAATTAGTTTATTTTCAGGTGTATTTCTCATTATTTTATCAAAAATCATGTTAATGGTTTCTAGTCTATAACTTTTGATTGAGAAGTCTGATCGAAAAAGTACGAATTGTTTTGGATTCTACGCACCAAAATTAATAAGAACAAGTGTTTTCCCGAGAAAGTTTGGTGTAGTCGATTTTTGGTAAAAAATGAAGGTTATACACTGCCTTTTTTTGAGGCCCGCAAAAGAAATTGTCTCAGATCGACCTGGAAAATTTACTTATAGAATGCGGCCTGTAGAATCCATAATTTCAAACAGTTACAAGATTGGGCTACTAGTTCAAAAGTTACAGCCCTTTGAATTTTCTTTCGAAATTTGTTTCTAGTCCATAACTTGATTGAGAAGTCTGATCGAAAAGGTACGAATTGTTTTGGATTCTACGCACCAAAACTAATAAGAAAAAGTGTTTTCCCGAGAAATTTTGGTGCAGTCAATTTTTGATAAAAAAAGGAAGGTTATACACTGCCTTTTTTTGAGGCCCGCAAAAAAAATTGTCTCAGATCGACCCGGAAAAAAATTTACTTATAGAATGTGGCCTTTAGAATCGATAATTTCAAACAGTTCCAAGATTGGGCTACTAGTTCAAAAGTTACAGCCCTTTGAATTTTTAAGCCATGAAAATTTCTTAAAGAATTGAAATAGATTTTCACACAGACGGAATGGGACGCTCATTAAAATGCACGGAAAACAAATATCGCGTAATAGAGTAAATATTTCTTTAGTGAACCGGATTTTACAAAAAAATTAATGCCAGTTGTCATAAACTGATATTGATTTCGACGTTTGAATCTGCTTTTTGTCTTACTAGTAATGGCTTAACATGATTTTTAAGTGGATTTATCGCCGAATTTTTGATGAAATAGTGAGAAATACACCTTAAAATTAACTAATTCGTATATCATTAGACGAGGAAAAAAATGTTCTTTCGATTGGTGTCATTATAAACCCTCTAAGTTAACATGGGGAGCAACGATTTGCAAAAAACCTTTTTCCAATGTTAATTCCCTATGTTCGGTTTGGGAATATTCACCCGGTATATACAGAATATTAGTGAAAAATATGCAAACAGTTTTGATGTATATGCCCACATATGCTAAATTATATATGTTGCATATAATTTCTAATAAAAAAGGAATTACGATAAACACTAGCAAAAAGATGTTTCTCCAAGTTTTCTGCACGAAATGATTGCCTCCTGTCGCTAAGAATTAATTTATAAGCACTAAGCAGAGAAACTTCTCTCTACATCAACAAAAGTAATAGGTGCATTAGAAAACGCCAAACTATTGGGAGCAATTTCCAAACCTTCCACAATATCACCCATCAACACCGTGGAGAAAGAGGAAGATAAAATAGTTGGGAAATGATGAAATTAAACATCAATTAAATCAATAAATCTTCCTTCCGGCTATTGCAGTATATGTTTCATGATCGCGTCCGCTATAAAAATCCGCAAAAATGTATTAAAAATTCAAATTAAAATTGATTAAATCTAACAAAAATTTAAATACATCTTAAAATATGTAAAATGGCAAGTCTATCATGTAAATGCAAAGAAAATGACAATATGCATGATATGAAAAGATAAATTCGGTTTATTCGCAAATGTTGCAAATCGAAAATACACAAAATGAGTACAACCAAAAATAAAGGACATCCATTTTGCATATAAGTATTCACAGCTTTAGCTGATCAACAAATTTGAATTAAAATTAATATAAAATAAGTCCTTTCAAATATCAAGAAGATGGCGAAAATATGCAAAAATATATGTATCATATGTGGAGAGATCTCCGCTTTTAGTGAATTGGTCTCTCCAAAATACAGGCAATCTTACGCAGCGGCAACGTTGCATTGCAATAATTTTCACCGTCTTACTAAACTAGGAGATACATCGGATAAACTGTTGTATGTACACTGTGAAATAGAAGTGAGTAAGTAAGAATTTGCAGGCTTCTTCTGATAGTGAAAGTTCAATCTCATAACAACCAATCCAGAAGCGTTTAAAACGAAAAAATCAGGCCTACGAATTCAATATACATATAAGAAGGAAAGCCGATCTATGGAACCATTACTTCAGGTTCTTCACCTTAACACTGATAAGAAACCTTGAAATTACTATAGAAATACCAAATACAAAAATACAGATGTATTGTAGCTGAAGAGGCATGTTAAGACCAAATCAAATACTAAATGATGATGGAATTGGTATGTGCGCATTATTAAAACATCATAGGAAATTTAGTCTGCTCTGCCTCTGTCATGGAAACTAACATTTTCTGACAGAAAGTAGGTATGAAAAGGAAGGTTTCAGGGCGATTTTGGGTAGAATTCATTTTTGTTGCCGTTTTCTAGTCGATATGATGATTTTTTATACAGAAAAAACAAATCTAACAGTGTTTAGTGCTCTTGAAAAATTTGCCGTCTGAAAATAACTGATGTCCACCCTTATCTGTGATCAGCAGACGAGGCGAATGTTTCTCGGCGAATTTACCGCACACGGTTTAAACTCTATTTGCTCTTTATCTTACCGCTCAGAGCTACTGATTGCAACTTTAATATTAATATGTCATTGAATATTTTTGTTTATGCAATGAGTACCGTGTGGCCTATTTTGGTTGAGAAAAAAAAATACCAACCTTAGGTAGAATCCTAGAAACGATGGTCCAAAACATTTTTTTTACATACACCCCTGGATTCTACGGAAAATATCTAAAATAGGCAGTTTTGATATATGATAGTTGACAGTATGATAACATCCTAAAAAGTCAAACTTTTCGTTTTCACCCTGTAATTAAAAGTTTCACAAAAAAAGTGGCACAGGGTCGCGAAAACCGCAAGTGTTTATCATAAAAAACAGCTGAAATACACTGCAGTCTCAACCAAAATAGAACACACGACCACAACAATGAATTTGAGTACCACCATGCAATTTTTACACAAATACGGAAATCATGAACAAAAGCACGCCCTTTGAATTAGGGTGCGTGGATGATATAAACGAAGCGTCGCATCTCTTAGGTAAACGAAGGACAAAATTTAGGCGTTCATCAATCTCCCTTAAATATTAAAATTTCGTTTAAGAACGCAATTTCATTGTTTGAGTTAGCGAGCCTAATTAGATACACGAGACTTCTTTTAACGAAAAGTGTCTCGAAAAGCGACGTTGACGGATTTATTTATTGTTTTAGGTGGAGGAGGATGTATGGATTAATATTAGAAAATCTATCCGGGTACATCAAGCACACATACGGCGACGAAAAATGGGAAGAAGTGAGAAAAGCGGTATCTTGCGATCAACCCAGTTTTAGTACGCACGAAGTGTATCCGGAGGACTTGGTAGCTAAATTAGCGGGAAAAGCATTTGAGGTATGTCATGCAGGAATTTATTCATCTTTTAGAATGTCGTTGTGAAAATGTTTGAGATGTGTAACTTATTTAACGTTTTCGCATTCGTACAAAAAGCAGCAAGAACGTATTATTTACCTTGTTTTCAGAGCCGCATACTCCAGGGCGATCCATATAATGGCCATCTTTTTGTAATTTTAATCGTAGCAATTTAGTATGGTAATAAGGACGCTAAAATGTAAATAATGCGAGTTTGAATTCCATTCTAAGCGACATGGAAATCCAACATTTTATTCAAATTTAAGTTATTTGGGTAATGGCAATTAGAATTGCAATTACTAATTTATTTTAGTGTTGGTGGCAGATTTCAGTTAAAGATTTTTTTCGGGTAGAAAGAATATTCTAAGTAGGTATATGCTTTACAGATCCTTCGATAAGTTTCCAGAACAATAGAATAGAAGACTTGACGTGCTTTCCAGTACTCACATTTCCCTTGGTCTGGAAAGAAAAAAACGTGCGCCTGTAAGGCTATTGGAAAGCGTTAGAAATCTCTAGGAGGAGCTGGTTTCTAGGGAAATCAGATTTTGATAGAGTTTTCTAGTTTCTTTCTAAAAGTAAGTTCATTTCTTCTTGAGGACTTTCAAGCGAGACCCAACAGAGTAAAGCTTTCTAAGATTTTAAGAACGTGTTATTTAACCCCTAGAAAGCCTAAAAAACGAGTTCTTTAAGACTTCTTGAACACTTTCTTTATTGCATTCTTAGAGCTTTTTGGGTCCGTCTCTAGCGCCTTCTAGGTAGCTTTAGAGAAAATGTAAGGTGTCTCTGATATTTTTTTAACGCGGAAAAAAGCTCAAAGAAAGATTCTAAGTGCTTCCTGAAAGAGTCTCCAAGGATGTACTGTATAGCGATACCTTTTCAAAACTCTGCCACCCCTGTTGTTGGTCGTAGTCACGATCACTCGTATTGCTTTCTGATTGGTGTCAGGAGACACCGATTAGAATTTAATCCTACAGACTAATAGTCACCATAGATTTTTTCTCTACAAAATTGTTATAATAGAATTATATGTATACGATTTACAGGCACACTACTCTATTTGGTTCCCTGCGAAAACGAAATATATAACAGTGAAAGTGTTTATAGGCGCATAGACGTTTATAAGTTGAATGCTCCCCATCAGTACAATGCAATAAAGGAAGCTGTGTAGATCAAGTGGCGTGCGATACAGTGTGTCAATTATTTTTCGTGCTACTAAGCTTAGAGCGCTTACATTTGTTATAAAATGGTACCACCCCAAATATATGCCCCGTAAAAAAGATCCACGGAAAAACAAAAACACGTCAACTTTATTTTGACGGGGGACATTTTATAGACTGGTCATACATGAAGTTGGCTCAACCCTCTAATGGGGGTTGACGCAATCCTTAAAATTTAAATAGAGAAGATGGGTTGAGCGACTTCTCTTCTTAAAGGTCATTCAATTGTTTTTTCAAAAATATTACACATTCGTTGTTTCTTTTCAGTACTTTAAGAAAATTCAAGCAAAAACCGTACCTAAATACCTAAGTTGAAATAAAACAAACGGAACTTTTTATTTTAATAAATTTTTGAAATACTGACCATTATTTTCTAAGCAGTAATGAAGTCTGTTTTCAAAGTCATGCCTAACGTTATAAAAAACCTCTTTTATAAACAATTGATTTAAGGTGATCCCATAGAAAAAAACCTAAAGGTGTTAAGTCAGGTGATGGTGGTGGTCATTCAATTGGTCCTCTTCAACCAATCCATCTACCTGGAAATCTTTTATGTAGTCACTACCGAACGGGTAGAAAGGATTGTAGGATGATTCGCCCCCGAAAATTCGCCCCGGTAAATTCGCCCCTGAAAATTCGCCCCCGGAATATTCGCCCCCAAGTAAATTCGCCCCCGGACTATTCGCCTCCGTAAGATTCGCCCCAGAAAGATTCGTCCCGGAAAATTCGCCCCCAAGAAAACTCGCCCCCCAAGTAAATTCGCCCCCGTAAAATTCGCCCCCATAAGATTCGCCCCAGAAAGATTCGCCTCCGGCAAGTTCGCCCCCGACAAATTCGCTCCTGGAAGATTCGACCCCGGCGATTCCGCTCCCGTAGGACTCGTCTCATAAGATTTATTAATCCTCGGAGGTAACAGGGCCAGCAGTTCATAAAATGAATTTTGTTTAATTTTAATTTTTTTTGTAATAACTGTGTACCTATACCTACATAAAGGGGGTAGAATAATAGCACTCAAATACCGGTAATTAAGATAAGGTTGAAGGGAGATTTGCAAAGGATTTGACATCCAAAGGAAATAAATCCTGTGTATTCACAATGACATTCTTTCAGACATGACATATGGAAAATCCACCTTAACTCTTGTATTACAAAAGAAGGACATTTTTGATTGACTGAGTTGTGTGCTTCTTAATTTCTTCCCAACAGAACGTTTGATGGCTCGTTTGGTCATTGGTGGTGTATTTGTTTTGAAACTTTTTATGTTCCTATTTGTCGAATACGAACTTTGGTTTTTTTTATTAACGATTTTATTCTACAGTGTTTTTTTTTTGTTTCGGACAATACTTGGCTTGTGCACGGATTTTGAGTTTGGTATAAACCTGTGTGAAAAAATAGTTTTGAGTATTGAAGAAGATCGGTTTCACGTGGTGCTGGTAGGTTTTGTATTATTTTTTAATTAGGTAGTTAGATTTACTTAAAAAATAGTATATTGAAAGACAAGTGTTACAATGCGACCTATTGTAATACGACTACCTTGTGGCACGAGTGGCGCAGCGAAGCGTAGCCACGAGTGTCCGCAAGATAGGAGTATTACAATAAAGCATTGTAACACGCGTTTTTCATACTATTTTTTCTATTTCGGTGCTTTAATTTAATTAAAAAAAATCATTATCAGAAACTATAGGGAACATTAGAACTAACATGTTTTATGTTGGGAACACTTTTTATGCCGTTAAGTTTTAGGTTGGCAGCGTAGTAAGACTGACATTTGGAAGTTCAAACATGGAAGTACTCAACGAAGTACCTTCTTGTACTAACTAGTAACTGCCAACTTAAGAGATGAGTTACCAAAAAAAACGACTATAATCACTGTCTTTGTACAACTGTTTTCGGCCGAAAACAGTTGTACAAAATCATCATTGTGACACCGAAATAGAAAAACGAATTTTGTGCACGATTTTCTAAGATTTTAAAATTATTACAATCCTAATAGACGAAGAGTTTATTGTATTGTAAATCAAACACAATATTTCACTTTTCACCTTTCGTAAATACAAAAAACAGCAAAAAAGGAACTCTTATGGCATCAGTAATAAAAACGTGTCTGTATTGTCATTTTTATACATAATAGTAGGACACAAAGTATACAGGGTGGTGACTTGCGTAACGCATCATAGGGATTTCAATGTAAAATTCATAACATGCGATTATTGGTTCCCCAAATTATTTTTGAGCAAAAATGTATTAAGGTTTTTTGTAGAAAAAAAAATTTTACGTCAATCAACCGTAACGGGCGATCAAAAATGAGTTGCTGTCGAGTCGCCTTTGGAAGTTTAAGTTAAGTACGATTTCCCATGTAAACAAAAGTTCCAAAGGTGACTCGACAGCAACTCATTTTTGATCGCACAGTATTAGTTGTCAATTTTTTGCATAATAAAGACGGAAAATTAGAAAAATAAAACCCCTGCCTTTTTCAATAATCTCTGACGCCATGGAATTTTATAATACAAAAACTACGCAAATATCCGTCATGCCATGGAATGTCTGCTATAAAACAAATCAAATTCTATCAAAAAGTGTTATATTTAGAACAGCGAATTCAACATAAAGAACCTAATATCACAATTTACAATAAATATTTGAATAAGTCATCTGCAAGATAAGACAGTAACCAAGTCGATCATAAAATCCATTTCGAACTGCTGCTAATTGATAACTGAATATATTTTTGTTTTAGAGACTTCCATGGCATCACAGATTATTGAAAAAGATGCGGCTTTTATTTTCCCAATTTTCCGTCTTTATATGAAAAAATTGAAAACTAATACGGTTGAATGGCGTAAAAAAATTTTTCTACAAAAAACTTTAATACATTTTTGCTCTAAAATAATTTGGGGAGCCAATAATCGCATGTTATGAATTTTACATTGAAATCCCTATGATCCGTTACCCACCCTGTATACTAAATTAAATTCATTGTCTTTTTAAGGTCTAAATTTTTGGTAAACGGTCAACGTTCAACATTTTTTGGTCTCAAGTGGATACTTTGGACATTTTAAAACTTTTATGACATTTGCACATTTTTTACCAAAATTCTCAAATTTAAGGCTGATCCGACGGGCTGAATTTGGAACGAGTACAAGAGTACCGTTGCAGACTAATATGCTACTTAACAAATAAATATATAAGCAAACTTTTTTTATATTTTAAAGAAATGTGATGTTTCAAGTTAGATTTTTTAGATTATTTTAATTATGATTTGATACTTCAGGAAACTTTATCAATGTTGGTGTTTTTAAACGCAAAATTACATCAAATCTGGATCAATTTTCAAATGTAAGTCTAAAGAAAGAATCATCCTTTGTTTATACATTGATGCCAAATACACTTCAATACATCCATAAATAGTTCATAAATATTTCAATACATCTATAAGTATAATTAGACTCCTTTGTAAACGCATTTTGGTGTAAAATGTATTGTAAACATACGGTTGACGTTGAACCGTTGAATCAGGCTTTTACAGGTGAAAGACGATTGAATATGAACAATTTCGAGTTGTCAGTGTCGCCGTATTGAGTTCCAAATTTTTGCAAACATTTATTTAATTAATTTAAATAAACCAACCTATTACTTCCGAGGGTTAATAAATGTTATGGGGCGAATGCTACGGGGGCGAATTTGTCGGGGCGAATATTCCGGGGGCGAATTTGCATGGGGGCGAATATTCCGGGGGCGAATTTACTTTGGGGCGAATATTCCGGGGGCGAATTTACCGGGACGATTCTTTCGGGGCGAATTTACCGCACACCGTTGAAAGTAATGAGGCGAAGCTCCATCATGTTGGCAGCGAACCAAGATCATCCTGCCCATGATACCAACCACATCAGTTTGATTTTCTAAATTTACTGTTATGGCTTTATGATTTCCTTCAGCATATTTATATAGCGTTCACCACTTTTCACGAGCGAATAAAGGTGCAATAATATTATTTCCATTTACTGTGTATTACTCTCAAAATTCGTGGATTTTCATCGCTCCAGTATCGACAATTTTGTTTGTTGACACGTTCAGAAAAAAAGTACACTCGTCACTAAAACAAATTTTCATTTGTGCTTGTCAAGTCCGTCATAGTTTCACAAAATTCGATTCGTCTGTCTGTCTGTCCAATTTTGAGACATATTTATGATTTAAATTATTATTGGGATATCTCTCATTAAACATGGCTGCCGTTCTTCTAGCGCACCTGCCACATTCACCATAAATGAATAAAATAACTTCGATTCTTTATTGAAGAGAAAAAACATTATGGAAAATAATTTTTGCAACATAAAACTCACTGACTTCACTGGCAACTTTTGTAAACTGTTTTGGAAAACACCAAAACAAAGAGTGATTGTTTTTGTTTTATTTCAGAACATTCGATAAAGTGACGGTAAGATTCTTATCATATTTTGGTCGATTTTTCTTCACTTCACTGAAGAAAAGACGATTGAATAACCTTTAAAATGAGGGGTCGCTCAACCCTTCTTTCCTTTTAAATTTTAGGGGTTGCTTCTACCCCTAATTTCATGTATGGCCAGCCTATAAAATGTCCCCCTTCAAAATAAAGTTGACGTGTTTTTGTTTTTCCGTTGATCTTTTGTTGTGGCTCATATATTGGGGGTGGTGCCTTTTTAAATTGACACACTGTATAGACTTACTGATCATGTCTAATTATTCTGTTAATTTAGTGATTGACCTTGCGCAGTTCCATTAGATTTCAGTTTGTCAAATGCAGGAAAACACTGAATTATCTATTTGTTCATTTAAATTGCCACATAATGGTTGTTTATTAATCCTTGTAATTAGTAAGTAAACTTCTAACACTGGGGAAGTAATCAATAATGATTAATAATTCATTTGTAGGGAACTCGTGTTATTATCAATTCGGAAATTTACTTCTTCTCTTATGATGCATGCTGTTTATCCGATTTGGAGCATCTAGCACGATGAAATCATGACTGTGCCTGTAGATCAGAATATGAAATTACATTATGTTCGCATACGATACACTATTTTGATCTATGACCAAATCGTAAGCAAGTGAAACAACGCTTCTGTTTTCTTTCTTCTATTGACCGCCCTTGTGCTATGAAACAATCTTGAGTCTCGTGACTCTTTTCAGAATGTACCCAAGAGTTGTTAACGTGTCCAGAATGTAGGCCCATTGCCGTAGGAATTTCGTGAGTGTTTTCTGCGTCGCATTTTTAAGTATATTGGAAGGACTTGAAATAAAACCAAAACCTTCTTGAGCCAAGGAAATTCGCTATTCACCTTCAACTTCTATAGTAAGGCCTGCATCAATTCATTCAGCTTATTTGTGGTTTTGTCAGCAGCCTTCCATGCTTGTAATAAATTATCTGGCAGGGACGACTCCACTTGTCATTGTCATCTATGGTAATGTCTTCCTCTATCTTTTTAAACTGACTCCAAAATCCTAACCACCCTTTGACTTCTCCGTTAAACTTTTTGTAATTAAATTTTGACAGTTTATAATTTCTTCGATGATTACCCAATACAGACAAGTTTTCACTTTAGGGTATGCATTTGAATTTTCCACCCATTAGAACTTGAAACACTCGCCTTGCTGTTTGAAACATTTCTTCTTATTGAGCGATATCTTCAAATTCTTCATTTTGATCATCGTCATCAAGCATGTTGTTATGTTAATGTGAGTGTGCTTTGAGAAAGGTACTTGTTTATAACAAATAAAATAAAGTCATCAGTTGTATTTGTTAAAGTATAGATTTTCCTTGTAAAACGGGTAGTTTTTTTAAGGTATTAATATGGTTTGGCGACGTTTAATTCTTTACGTCGATTACTTTAGAACGTTCTTTTGCTGTTACTGTAACTTCTGGGTTACCAGCTTTGAAAATCCTATGGCAACTGCAAAAGTTCCCAGGCAGTTTCTAGCACCATATGAGACTAAATCAAAAAATTATTCCTTCTACGTTCGCAGATTGTGTACTCGAATTCCTTTGGGAAATGTCTTAAAAATTTAAAATCTCAAAAACAAAGAAAAACCGTGCTTTCTAAAAAAAATTACAAAAATTGAGGATTTTTAAACCTTTCGCAGCCCTCAATCCATATATATCTCCCCTAATTATTTTAGAGTAAATGTCTAAATACGTTTTTTGTAGAGAAAAAAATATTGCATCTGTTCATACTATTACTGCTATTACTTATAGTGAGCGACACCCTTAACCGACGCAAGAAAAAGCGCGAAAGGCAAATAATGAAACGTGATCGCTGTTTTTTTAGGTAATTTCAAGGTACATTATATCTGATGTATTGTAAAATGAACCTTTTTATTTTGTCGATTTCTACGGTTTTGAAAAACGGAAATTTATAAGTAATAGCATGAACAGATCTGTACCTCAGAGGTAAAGTATAATATAATATAATTATTATTTTTTCCTGTATGAAATCACAACTCAGATTAGAAACAAAATCTATTTATTTGATTAACAACTTATAATTCAATAATTTTATTGAAATTAAAAAATATATCAATACTGTTCAACTATGCAGCTTCTTCGTTGTTGTAAGAAAGAAATGGTCATCATTTTGTAGAAAATTTCCTCCATAAACGATAAAACACAAGTATAAATGTTTTGAGGAGTAAAGCAGATTTTTAATAAGACACTTACCTATACACTGCCTTTTTTTGAGGATCGAAAAAAAATTGTCTCAGATCGACCGAGAAAAAACATTTTCTTATAGAATGTGCCCTGTAGATTCCATAATTTCAAACAGTTTGAAGATTGGGCTACTAGTTCAAAAGTTACAGCTCTTTGAATTTTCTTTCGAAATTGGTTTCTAGTCCATAACTTTTGGTTGAGAAGTCTAATCGAAAAAGTACGAATTGTTTTGGATTCTACGCACCAAAATTAATAAGAAATAGTGTTTTCCCGAGAAATTTTGGTGTAGTAGTTTTTTGGTAAAAAAGGAAGGTTATACACTGTCTTTTTTTGAGGATCGAAAAAAAATTATCTCAGACGACCGGGAAAAAACAGTTTCTTATAGATTGTGCCCTGTAGAATCCATAATTTCAAACAGTTTAAAGATTGGGCTACTAGTTCAAAAGTTACAGCCCTTTGAATTTTCTTTCGAAATTGGTTTCTAGTCTATAAATTTTCTTTTTGGTTTCTAGTCCATAACTTTTGATTGAGAAGTCTAATCGAAAAAGTACGAATTGTTTTGGATTCTACGCACCAAAATTAATAAAAAATAGTGGTTTCCCCAGAAATTTTGGTGTAGTAGTTTTTTTGTAAAAAAGGAAGGTTATACACTGCCTTTTTTTGAGGATCGAAAAAAAAATTGTCTCACATCGACCGGGAAAATACATTTTCTTATAGAATGTGCCCTGTAGAATCCATAATTTCAAACAGTTTGGAGTTTGGATGCTAGTTCAAAAGTTACAGCCCTTTGAATTAGTACCTACTGTTTAAAATTCGCTAACTCTGTTGTTTATCATCAAACAATACTAAATCCATATATTTCGTGTAGAACAACAAAACGTATGTGACTTAGTATAAAAAAGCAATTTTTGGGGAAAAATGGACAGTTTACCTCTGAGGTACAGAGATGCAGATTTTTTTCTCTAAAAAAACGTGTTTAGACTTTTGCTGTAAAATACTTAGGGGAGATAGTAAATGACTGTAAAGAAATTACCATTGAAATCCCTATGCTGCGTCGCGCTAAGCCCTGTATACTTGGTGCAGCATAAATTGAACACTGCACTAAAATAGACGAGTTCAGTATATCCCTGAGTTCCATCAATTAATTCTAAACGGATAAAATGAAACCATTGGGGTTACAGGCCAATTATTTACTGTATACCATTCATTCAAAGAATTTTCCTCCCTTTTCCAAGATTAACGTGTAGCTGTGATGGAATTTCCTTTATTGCGCGTTCACAGGAAATGGATACCTACTAATGAAGCCAATTTTTACGAACTTTTAAAACATCAAAGTATGATATAACAATAATTGTATAGCCTTTGTTGGGAAGGAAAAGGCGAGCTTAAAATGCCAAACTGGCAAATTCTCATTACACGATACAAAGCCGTTTGTTCCCTAATTTTCTGAGAAATACGAAAATTATTGTTCCTCTTTTGTTGCAGATATTAAACGTAACCGAACAGGAATTTTTTGACGGAATGGGGGTTTTCTTTGTCAGCTTCGTAGCTCAGTATGGATACGATCGCGTTTTGTCGGTGCTTGGACGACATATGAGGGATTTTTTGAATGGACTAGATAATTTACATGAATATTTAAAATTTTCCTACCCGAAAATGCAGGCGCCCAGTTTTATATGCGAAAACGAAAGTAGGAAAGGTCTAACTTTACATTATAGAAGTAAACGGAGAGGATTCGTTTACTACACAATGGGTCAAATTAGAGAAGTACGCCATCATACTATTTCAAATCTTATTGTCTGTCGTTGCTTCTTTCAGGTAGCGAAGCACTTTTATCACAAGGAGATGAAAATCATATTAGTAAAGGAGGAAATTCTTTTTGATATGGTGCACGTTACGTTTAATTGTGTGTTTGATAACCGAGCTTTTTGTTTAGCATCGTTAGTGATGACACGAGAGGAGAAGCACCTTCCGGTTAGCGCAGTGGCTCTCTTTGAAATTTTTCCATTTTGTATGGTATTTAGGTAAGTAAATGTTTGTTTATGAATATTTATGTAAGAGCTGCGAGTTTTATGATAGCAGTTCAAGACCAGATCACTCCATAAAACATGTAATAAAATATTCCACCCTTAAGAGTGTCTGGTGACGCCTCTGCATTTTCAACTAATACTTAGGGACAATGCGCTGTTGTGCAACCCCACTGAGTTGCACCGCTAATTTTACGTAGGTCTTGATCTGATGTGGAATAAAAATTATACAGGTTAAACAACGTTTTATTATGTACTAATTAATATCTAATAAAGTTCGCGATTTCTTCCGTTCTGAAGTTCAAGATGGACTACCTTATCATAATCACATTAGTTTTAGTTTCATTAGATGGAAATAAGGTAGTTTTAATAACATTTTTATAGTAATTTGCAAAATGGTATAATGTGATTTGATAGGGTAGTCATCTATCCTACTTTCTAGTTTAATTCCAAAAATGATGCCTTAACGTAGCTGAAACAGCTTCGTAGCAATACACAACCACAACTATTGTATTACAAGGTTCGGAATTTCTCTCGGATAACTGTTCTGAGTCATGCCCACTATTTCTAAATGATACAGCATCTAATTCTCGATCAAAGTCATGGTCATATTATTTGAGGAACGTTTGTGTTTACACGTTACATTGTTGTTTAAAATGTATACCGGGTGTTCATTTGAAACCTTCCCACCACGGATTTATCGAAATCCGCTGATTAAACGAAAAAACGCCGAGACACGTCAAAAGATTTGTCAAGGGGGTCCACTTTTTAACCAAAAACTACTTCACCCCCTTTCACCCTCTGTTCTCCAGGGTCATTCCCTTAAAAGTTTTAAATGACAAGTGGTATCGAGTAATATAGCTTATTTGAAAGGTCTTTCCAAGCCCGTTATTTTCAAGGATTTTTAAAATCGGTCGATTCGTTTTCGAGAAAATTAGAATAATTTCCACTCTTTCGGCTAATGTGTAAACCATTTTGGAAGTAAAATCTGAATCAATATATTTATTTTCAATATCTCAAGATTGTCACAAAAGTAACTGACAGCAAAATAAATTCTTTTTTTCCCATAGCAACAAATAAGTGATATTTTGCTTTCGTTTTTTACGATTAAATAAATGAAATAAAGATTTTTTAAGAGAACGACCCCGGGGGGCAGAGGTTGAAAGGGGGTGAAGTTTTTGATTAAAAAGTTGTCCCCCTTTTGACGTGTGTGTCACGGCGTTATTTCCTTTAATTAGTGGTTTTCGATAAATCTGTGGTAAGAAGTTTTCAGATGAACACCCTGTACGTTACCGCTAATGTTAGAAAAACGTTAATGTGCACATTGACGGACTGCGCATTAACCGTTCTGATCTGTAAAAGTGTGAAATTTAGTTAATCTAGTTAATGTGCACATTATAACCCAATCTAAATTATTAAAGTGCGAAAAAATATTGAAAAGAACAATACAGATACGTAATTTTGCGTTGTGATCCAAATTTCCTAACTTTGCATTAAAATTTGAAATTGCCGATTTAATTACTACAGTTCAACGAAGTAACACTTGAGGAATGGGAAGAATTTTATCGTAGACATCACGCAAACTTACGAAAGCGTCTAAGGGTCACAAAATTATAATAAAATTATTTTTTCCAATATATTGGAAAAAATTGAATGTATTGGGGAAAAAATTGAATATATTGGAAAAAAATTGAATATATTGGAAACAATTGAATATATTGCGAAAAACTTAAAAATATTGCGAAAAAATGTAATATATTGGAAAAAAAATGTTACACAAACTCAACACTTATGTCGGATATTGCAGAGTGAGTTACGAGTTTAATGTGCAGTGGCATTTGTGGAAAATCGAAATGAATAACGTAGATTTATTTGATGCACCCAGCAACGTTACCGACAGAGACTTACTGTCTCTGCGCTACCGATGATTTACTTTCTCTCCATTTTCGTTGTCCGGCCAAGAATTGCAGTGGAACTTTTTTTTCGAATTTTCAAAAACTAATTCCAGATTCGTCATTTTCTTGTTCAAAAACCCCCACATACCAAATTTCGTCGAAATCAGATTTTTTCGCACCCCCAAGTAGTGGTGCGTCCTTTCGTGGTAAGAATTTTGAAAAACATTTTTCAAAATCGTATAGGGCATATCCGAAAACCTATTCAAAGACGTGCCATTCATCTTTGTAACTCTTAATAATAATAATAATAATAATAGCACAGCTAAAAAACACAATACTCTTTCTTCTCAGAAACACACCACGTTATCACAACCTACTCGTACTCAACCCAAACGCAGCAACCTTAACAGCACTAGAGGCTCACAAAATACCGTAATGTCTCCACCAATAATCCAAGCAACAACACAAATACAACCTCAAGAACAAAGAAACACCATAAATACAAGTAAGGCAACATGTACCACAAAGACAGGTCCACCCAATAAAGTTACACGTCCTAGCACAGTTAAAAACACAAAACTCCATCCTCACCGAAGAACACCACGTTATCACAACCCACTCGTATTCAACCCAAACGCAAAGCCAAAGAAACACTTACACAATAAACTCCATTTAATAAAATTACAGGAATTATTATAGTGATTTTGTTTGTTTGTTTTGTTTTCCTCTTTCCTGATAGCGTTGACTATTGTGGCCATTAATAGCTATGTTGGTAAGTATGAATTACATACTATCCCTAGATTTCCAATAACCCTACATAACTTCACCAGACACAGACACTAATCGTTACTTGATTTTAATCCGTGCGATTAGTTAACCAGGCTAGACCTGAGTTCTCACAAGAAACACCGACCATAATAATAATAAAATCCCTGTGGGTTCGGGGATAGAATAGGCCCACTCTCGCCCTAGAGATCGTAAAAGGCGATCAATGGGCACTAAAGGTGACAAATCCAACCACCTTTAGTACTTACCTACCCACTTTACTTTCCAACTCCCACGCCCATGTTCCCGACTCTCTACATATACACAACACGCAGGTGGATATTTGCTTACGCGAATATCTTGAAGAGTGACGCCTTCACGTGTTCCTAGTCACCCCATATTCTTATGAAAATGGAGTTTAAACAAAGCCTCGGAGAAATGCCGCTATCTGAGGAGCGTCTGGGCACGTCTGGAGCTATCGCTGGGCGTTGCAGCATGCGAGCCGATAGTGACGAGTTGGTGAACAGGCGGCCGCTCGTTGGGATACCCGAAACCTTTACAGCCGAAAGAATACTACGAAGAGGACAACGACCACTTGAGGAGGACCGCCAAAAAGAGACCTTTGTGCCTGCTTGTGGATGGGACCAGCGCAAAGGAAACCTCCAAAAGACGTATGAAATGGGACGAAGGGATGAATCGCTTCATTTTCGGTACGTATCTGGAGATCACGAAGATGGAAACGGGCAGGACAGCATACAGAGGTAAAGACAATTTCCCACTTAGGCAGTATCTTTGGTTAAAAATAAGTTTCAAATTTATATACGGTTTCCGTAATAAAGAAGTAATACTTATGTTGGGAAAATTTCAAACCTTCATCTAAAATCAGGCCGATTTTTGGCAGTTTCTTTCACAAGCAGACCCGAGTCTGCCACCTTAACGTCCACATCCTGTTTAATTAAGTTTCTAGCTTTACGTTGCCCAAATACCATGAGTACGGATTTCTCTGCATTAATTTGTGAACAGTGCTTTTCAGAAACATTTACAAGAGCATCAATGTCAGAATTAATTAATTTATTAGCTAAAGCCACATTATCAGGTTGAAAATCTATTTGAAGCTGTGTATCATCGGCATATAAGTGATACCTGCAATGCTTAACATGATTTCTGAAGTTGCACGTGTACAACAAATATAGTAATGGGCCTAGATTAGATCCTTGGGGCACCCCAGCTATAATAGGCAAGGAAGTAGAACTCTCTCCATTTAAAATTACCTTTTGAAAACGGTTAGTGAGGTAAGATGGCATAAGTTCCACAGCAGTGGCACTAAATCCAATAAATCGCAAGATACTAAACAAAATTTGGTGAGAAATTGTGTCGAATGCTTTAGAATAGTCTAACATGACCAAAATCGATGTTCTATTTTTATCGGCAGCAGACAGTATATCATCCGTTATATTCAAGAGGGCAGTAGCACAACTATAACCTTTCCTAAAACCCGATTGGGTTTCAGGTAAGATATGAAGCGTAATAATTATGCTTATTTATTTGCTCTACCATTATTTTTTCTAAAATTTTTGACATAACTGGTAAGATGCTGATGGGACGAAGGTCCTTAAATAATTTAGGTTCGTTTATCTTAGGTAACGGTATAACATTAGCAGCCTTCCATATTTCTGGTCTTATGGTTGCTGAGAAAAAAATTAAAGAAGAAATCCAAATTTCACCACTTCTTTGGGGGTGGCTCCCAAACGAAACACGTTGGACCCTCGGTTTATTCGGAAAAAGTGCTTGTCTTGCTCCCCTCTATCACCTTTTTTTTTTTACATGCGGTCATGTAACACCCTGTATACTATGCGATCAAAAATGAGTTGCTGTCGTGTCACATTTGGAATTTTTTTTTACATGGGAAATCGTACGTAACTTGAACTTCCAAAGGCAACTTGACAGCAACTCATATTTGATCGCCCGTTATAATAGCTATTTATGTTACAAGTACATAATCTATGACTTTATTGCTGAAATTTGGTATAGATTTCACTATTTAATAACCAGAAATAACATAATGTGCCTTTTGTGTTGTCATAGATACGTGTTGTTTGGAAAAAAATCTGTTGATGTGTAGTGTCAATTTCATTGGGTATTAACTATTTGTCTGTACCTAATTATGAATCCCAAGATGAGTCCAGAAGAAATTGATGGGTACAACAGTATACAACAATTAGCCTGCAATGCCAGAGAGATGCTTTTACCAAGCAAATCAAAAACTGTATATGAGGCCGCATACAGGGAATACAGAAGGTGGTACTGGGGGAAGAAAATCAATTGCACCATGGAAGACTGTATATTGGCGTACTTTAATAGTGAGCTGGTCTCCTATAAAAGTTCTTCTTTATGGAGTA